TTTTTGAGACAGGCTCTCACCAGATTGATAAATTGCTCAGGCTGTGCTCAAACTTGGGACCCTTCAGCCTCAGACTCCAGATTAGGTATAAAAAATGCATTTTTGATTTACAGTAGTCACAGTTTGCAAGTGAGATGTAGCCCAAGTGTAAATCGAGATGCACTGGTACCTAGGAGGCAAAGAATCTTTTTTTTTTTTTTTTTTTGTCTTTTTCCTTTTTATTGGTACCGGGGATCGAACTCATGACTGCCTGCTTGCAAGGCAGGCGCTTATGCCGCTGAGCTAAATCCCCAGCCCCCAAGAATCTTTTTCTGTTGAGCTAAATTTTAGGTGAAATCAGGAGTCAAGAAAATAGATATTTTTGAGGCAAGTGCAAGCTCAAAAAGAAACAAACAAAAAACTTAATAGAGCTCCATAAAAGGACAGACATCTGTGTTGTCTCTGAGGCTGCTGGCTATTGTTGCCATGTCATAGAAGCAAAGAGGAAGAGTAAGGATTGACCATCAGTCTTCACAAATTCCTCACCTGTAGATTCAATCACCTGCTGATCAATTACATTTAAAAACACAGTGTACTGAATATACTTTGTGAGTGATCTAGAAATGATTTAAGGGACGGTTGGATATGGTGGCACACACCTGTAATACTACCACTTGGGAGGTTGAGGCAGGAAGATTGCCATGAGTTTGAAGCCAGTATGGGCTACACAGCTGAGTTTGAGATCAACCTGAACTGCATAACAAGACTCTGTCTAATAAACTTAAAAAACAAAATCCCCCAAAAAACTATATGAGAGAATATGCTTTCTTTTTTTTTTTTTAAAGCATTTTTTAAATTTTATTTAAGGAGAAAAGAAAAAAAAAAGCAGGGAAAGGGTACAAGTTATACAGATTTACAGAAAAAACATGAACAGTAGGAAATCACTAGTTAATGGATTACATATTGTCATCTTAGAAATAATTGTTCAAGTCACAAAATTAAAGCTTGTAAAGTGAACATTCCATCAATGATACTGCAAACAGTTCTGTTCATTGATCCAATAAAACTCTGTGATATCATTTTCTATCTTACACACTTAAATATACATGCAGTTATATAGTTTGGAGCACTTTCTTTTCCTCTCTTTTGTACCATGACTATTACACATTTTGGGTTTCAATGCTCCCACGGTTCTTATTACTTTTTTGGAAGAGAGTAAAACCAAATGTGACATAACAGAACAGAATCAGTCAAGTCAAAAGGGTGGACATAATAGATAATGTAAAAACATAATACAAGGTGATCAACAATGGTTACCATAATGCCTCCCGCTATCTCTAATAGAATTGCCTATATCGTTAGTTATAATACAATTGAACAAAACAGTAAAGAATAAAACCGACAAAACCAAAACATTGGAGACATTGTAGGTCTTCAAAAGTAGATAAAAGTCAACAAGAATGGGTGTCATAATGAATCTCAGTATCTTCACAGCTGATGCCTAAACTTTCGAACCTGATACTATCCAGCAAAACAGAATAGGGGAACATCAGTTAAAAACCAGGTGGTGAGAGTAATACAGGGCTTTAAATCAAGGTAATGAAAAGTCAAAGTGGGTTACTATAATATATCCTGCTATTTTTTTTCCTTTAATTAAAAGGATAAAGATAAAAAAGTAAATAATGGAGTGGAGATTGAGATAAAAGAGGGCATAACAATGAAACAGCGCAGATCAAAACATAACCATTTAAGCAGAATAGTGTTTCACCACCAGATAATCCTAACCTAAAAGTAGTTACCATATTGTCTCTTTCTTTGAAATCCTTGAGTACAACTTCGTATACTGTAGCATTAAGTATATCAAAACAATGTAAAACCATTCAAGAGAATGACAGCATTACAGAGTATTTAGAATCGACTGACAGAAAATGAACAATGGTTTCTGTATAATCTCCTTGTCTTTAAAAGGTTTTTGCTTATACTATCGTATATAATAAAATCCAATAAGATACAACCTGTTTAGACCATTGGAGACAGAAAGACAAAAGCTAGATGAGACTTCAAAACAAGATGATACTAAATCAGTATTACCTATTAAGATGTCATTTTCTCCAAAATAGCTGTTCCTATCATCCAATCTTCTCTGCCTCATTTCTGTTGAGCTCTTTTTCTGTCAGTAGCTGTCAGTTTGTCTTCTTCATTTTGTTCTCTGCTCCATTCGTTGTGGCCTCTCTGCTATTATTTCTGGATTCTTTGTATTTTTCTTTTTTTAGAATATCCTGCAATACTCTCTGTAGAGTTGAATTGGTGGTTGCAAATTCCCCCAGTTCCTCTTTATCCTGGAAGCACCTTGTTTTTCCATCAATTTCCAGGGACAGTTGTGCAGGATATCTCAATCTTGGCTGGAGATTATTATCTTTCAAAGCTTGAATTATTTCCCCCCACGCTCTTCGTGATTTGATGGTTTGTGCAGAGAAATCTGCTGTAATTCTGATGGGTGTTCGCTTGTAAGTGGTCTGTTTCTTGTCTCTGACAGCTTTTAATATTCTGTTCTTGTATTGAATTTCTGGAGTTTTTGTTATTATATGCCTGGGTGTTGCTCTGTTTGGGTTGTAGGTAGCTGGGGTCCTGTATGCCTCATACATCTGAGTATCTTTACCTTTTGCTAAATTAGGAAAATTCTCCTGGATTATTTCTGTGAGTAGCTTTTGTAGTTCACTTGTTTGTGTCCCTACTTCTTCTTTTATGTTCTTAATCCTTAAGTTATGGATCCTCTTATCATCTTCTTGTCTTTGTATTATTTTTAAGAAGTTTTTCATTTCATTCTCCCATATTACAAGTCTGCCCTCCAGTTCAGATAGTCTGTCCTTAGTTTCTTTCAAGCTGTTATGCCAGTCTTCGATAGACTTCTTAGTATCTTGGTAGTCCCTTTGAACCTGCTTCACGTATTCTATGCTTTCTCTGTTTTCTCCATCAAACAATTCTCCCCTTTTTTTCTGTTCTTCCATTCCACCACCTGTTTTTTCTTGGGTGGTACTTAGCATTTCTCTAACTATTCTGCATACTTCTAGCTTCAGGTCGTTGATAACTTCATTCCTGAATTGGTCTATGAGGCTCTCTATATGGCGCCTTATGTGTATTGGTGCGCTGTGTGCTATTGCCTGTTTCTCAGAATTGGGGGCCGAGGAGCCTTTCTTGTTGCTGCCTCTTCCTATGCTGCCTCTTCTTCTCTGTTCCTTATATATGCAAGCTTATATAAGAGGCCCAGCTTCTCTCCCAGTCAGCCACAGCCTGATCGAATTGCGCCAGTTAGGTGTTCCCGCTCACCGCTGCGCACCAGGGAGTTACGGACCAGGCAGCCTACGCGTCTCCCCTCCCGGCCACCGTCAGGCTCTGGGATCTGGGTTGGGACAGCCTACCAGGTCCGCCAGCAGCGTCACGCAGGCCAGGCACTTTTCACCAATCCCGCCCAAGAGGGGGATGTGTGCCTGGAGTCACCATCGCGCCCTGCTCCCACAGGACTGCTCGGGCCCAGAAAGTCCTCTGCTGGAGTCAAACTGTGGTAGAGTGTCAGTTTCTCTCACTCACCTCACCACAAGTCAGTGCACACCTCCCTGCCGTTCGCAGATTGCCGTTCTCAGAGCTTCTGCGCGTCTCTCTCCTTGCTGAGCCACTGTAGAGGCAGCCAGCCGCTGTGCGGCGGGAAACCCAAATCGCCGCTTACAATGGCGCGGGGTCCAGCCTCCACACCGAGGCTTTTCTGTTCCTGTTTTAGCACCAGGACTGTATTCCAAGTTGGTTTCTCTCAGCCCAGTTCGTTCGTGAGTCAGCAGAGCATATCTCCACCTGCTTATGTCTCCGTAGTCCGCACCATTCCTGGCTTCTGAGCCGAGTCTTTCAGAGAGCCTCCGGTAGTTGCTGTTATCTGTCCGCCATGTTCTCCCGGAAGAGTATATGCTTTCTTGATAATATGCAGACATTATACTAATTTTATACTTTATAGAAGGTACTTCAGTATCTGCAGATGTTACTATTAGTGAGTACTTGAATCAATTTCATGAGGAAACCAAATAGCTGCAATCCCAGGTGAAACTGTCACAGAGCTAGCCCCTACTCAAAAGTCAGGAATTTCTCTTGAATAGATACTTTTCTGTTTGTTCTGTAATTTTGATTAACTTTCACAGTTTGAGACTTGATTTTTTTTCTTTTTCTTTTTTTTTTTTTTGGTGGAGGAGGAATCAGACTCATGACCTCTGTGCTTGCCAGGCAGGCACTTATACTGCTGAGTTAAACCTCCAGCCCCCAGATTTGTTGATTTTAATTGCTTGTTTTATTTTATTTTATTTTATTCTATTTATTTTTTGGTACAAGGAATCAAACTCACAACCTCACCCTTGCTAGGCAGGCTCTTTTCCACTGAGCTAAATCCTGAGCTTCGGTTTTAATTGTTTTACCCATCATATAATTTGTTTTAATGGGAGAATGAGTTGACCAAAGTTGTCATTGTCCTTTTTGTTTCTTTACTTTTTCAAGGAGTTTTGTTGTGTTGCCTGGGCTGGTCTCAAACTCCTAATTTTAAATGATCTTCCTGCCTCAGCTTCCTAACTAGCTATGACATTAGCCATGTGCTACTGTGCCTAGATTCAGAGTCTGAGGCTAGAAGTGGCTCTGCCAAGTACTGTACGTTCACTTGTCCATTAGAAATTGCTCATTTAGCTGTTTCTAATGTCACATGACCTTTCTCCAGAGCCTCAGAGATTTCACGGGAGTTTATGTTTTGCTTGTGCCATAGTGAAGACTAAAACAAGGGCCATCATTATAAATCCTAAGCCTTTTTTTTATATTTTATTTTGAGGGAGGGTCTTATAAAATCCCTAGGAGAGCAGAACTCAAACTTGTGAGCCTCCTGCGATCTAAACTGTCACATTCTGGGTGCATAAGTGTGCCCTATCATACCCAGCTTCATGGTTGTTTTTATTGCACATTGCATGATCCTCTCACGTGTTTCATCCTCATCATAGAACGTCAGCTCAGGAAACCTAGTATGATTACCCAGCTGGAAGAAGACCATGACCCAAAGACTGTGAAGCAAAGAATTCACCAAGATCCTTATTCAGGTGAGCAGCTGGTATGTGAGTGGTTTGTTTTTTGTTTTGTTTTGTTTTTGGTGCTGGGGATCAAACTCATGGACTTCGTGCTTGCCAGGCAGTCATTTATGCTGCTGAGCTAAATCCCTGGCTCGCAGAATCTTTTGAATAGCAACTGTTTTTGGGTTTTGATGGTTGCACATGAAGTAATGTTAATCAGGCACTTTTATTTTTTTTTTTTTTTGGTGGTGCTGCAGATGGAATTCAGGGCCTTAGATGTGCTAAGCAAGTGTTATATCACTGAGGTATACTCTTAGCCATTTTTAAATTTTATCCTAAGGAACTGGGATTATAGGTGTACACTGTAGTACCTGACAAATAACACCTAGAAATTCCCTTAAATCTTAAAGAGAAGTGAAGTATAATGGCACGTGCCTGTTGCTCTACCTCCCTGGAAGGCTGAAGCATTGCGAGTTTTTTAAGGTTGACCTGGGCTCACAAAGGAAAAAAAAAAGCTGAGCTGGGTGTATAGCTCACTATAAAGGCCCTGGTTTCATCTTTAGTATTGCAAAAAAGAAAAGAAAAATTCTGTGTGTCTGTATTTTCCATACATACACACATATGTATGGAAAACTCAGGCAATTTAGTGTAAACTCCCTTGTAGCTTTAACTTTCCCTAGTTTTTCATCTTTCCCTGTCATTTCATGCTTTATTCTTCTAATGGAAAGTTCTGTTATAGTTAGTATTTGATTCCTTTCAAGTTTTTATTATAACTTTTGCCTGTTAACATAATTTTCTGTCCTGATGGTGTCATTCCTAGGGAAATTACAATATATGCTAAACCATAGATGTATCATTGACTATGAGTGCATTTTTCTTTCACATACTGTATCTAAAGGTAAATAGCAGAAAAAGTCAGGTGTGGTGGTTCATTCCAGCACTTGAGAGTCTGAAGCAGGAGAATCACTGTGAGTTCCAGGCCAGGCTTCACTACAGAGTGAGTTCAGAGCTAGCCAGAACTACATGGTGAGACCTTGCCTCAAAAACAAACAAGAGTAAAGTGGAAGAGATTCCCACATAGGCTGCAATTACAGTTTACATTCTGTTTGTTTCTGTTTTGATTTGTCTTTACCTGCTTTTTTCACCACAGTACATTATTATCCTATTTTCTACAGTTTTGGTTTTTGTTATTTCAATGTACCTGACCAACACAGTGCAGAAATATTAATTGAAAAATTTTTAAAATAAGCATTTCATAAGTTTTAAATTGCATTCTGTTTTCAGTTGCATCACAATAATGTAATATTGCTAAGTGATGAGGTCTCTATGTTGCCACTCTGAGCAGCATGAAGAAATGTTGTATTATTTACTGTGATGAACTTTTTTTTCTTTTAAAGACAGAGTCTGGCTGTATAGTTTAGGCTGAACTTGAACTCACTGTGTAGCTCAGATGATCCTCTTGCCTCAGCCTTCAGAGTGTTGGGATTTCAGATGTGCTCCACCGCACCTGTCTCCACCTTTTTTCCCTTTGTGAACTGTATCATGCTGTTTATATTACCTGTCTGCATTAACACATTCAATGCTGTAGTATCACTGTGCTTGTGCTCAAGTGATCTTCAGTTAATTGACAATGTACAAGACAACTCATGATATTTATTTGGATATATACAAGCGAAGAATGCTTAGCCTAAGTGTGTATATGTATAAATACTGGGAAAAAAACTCAGTGTGTAGAGGCCTTGGTACCATCCATACTTTTGGGCATCCCCTGGGAGTCTTGGAACTTACTTCCTGCAGATACAATTGTGTAACCATTGCTTTTCAAAAACCTAAATTTTCAGATAGGATGATTTTGTCACCAGTCAGCAACCAATCACAGCATATCCAAAAGAATTTGGAAAGAGAAAGACTCAGTGACAAGAGGGTAAGATCCACGTGGCATAATTTGCTGTCCTCCGCATTCCAAGTCTTACATTCCCAATAACAGAAAATGAATCTAGTAACTAGAAGGTAGTTTGAAGGAAATGATATCATTCTAGCTTCACTACAGAAAGCAAGAGATTGTCTAAATGTTATTTAAAGAAAACTCATATACCTGTGTGAATAGAGAACTTCTGAAGTATTTGCATAAAAAGAAATTAGATATTCAGTGTTTAAAATATAATTCAGTATAAAACAATTCATTGTTAAGACTGTTGAAGGGATTCTGAATCAAGTGCCTAATGTATCACTGAGCTCATTCAAATGAGTAAACTCACGTAGGTACAGTACTGTGCAGATGCATAAAGAAGATAATTTAGTAAACTCTAATCTTAATACAGTGCTTTTTGGTTTTTTTTTTTTGCAGTATGGGGGATTGAACCCAGTGCTTTGTACAGAGCTACATCCTCAACCTTTTTTTCATTTTTTATCTTTGTTTTTTATTTTATTTTTAAATTTTATTCACTTGTTTATTTTTGTTTTTGAGATACAGTCTTGCTAAGTCAATAAATGGGGCAATGGGTTCCAGTTTGCGATTCTGTGGCATTACCCTCCCTCTCGAGTTTGGGATTACAGGTATGCACCATAACACCCAGACAATAAAGTGATTCTTAAACATAACAGAATTTTTTGTTCGTTTCTTTGTTTGTGGTGCTGGAATCAAACATAAACCCATTTGTACACTAGGCAAGTGACGTCTACACAGCTACTTCCCTAATCCCTCCCTAGTTGAATTTGTATGAGATGGGAACCTAGTCAACATAACGAATGTGATAAAATTTGTAGTGATTGCTTATTTGAATCAACAGGAGCCAGCCCATGGAAAGAATCCCACTGAGTGTAATACAATTGATGAAGTCTTGCATAGAAAGTCTAACATTACTTAACATAAGCAAATTTTATGCTGGCGAGAAATCCCATCCATACACTGTCTCTGAGAATGATCTCAGAGAGTCCTCATGAGTTGAACCACACAAGAGAATTCATTCTGGGGAAAAATCCAGTTAATATACAAAGGTAAAAATGCCATCAACACAAGTATTCATGGTGTTCTTCATCAAAAACAGAGGAAAGCAAAATTCTATGAATGCAGTTTCTATGGGAACATGTTAAATTCAGTCTTATGCCTTAAAAAGCACAAGGAAAATCACAGTAGAAGGAAATCTCTTGAATGTGATCGTTGTGGGAAAATACTCCAGAGTCACTCATACATGAAGTGGCATATGAGATTACACACTGGAGAAAAACTTTCACATGTGATCAATGGGGGAAAACATTTAGCTCAAACTCTTACCTTATAAAACCTAAAAGGGTTTCATTCTGGAGAGACGCCTTACGAATGCCATAATTATGGAAAATCCTTTGGAAGTAGTTCACTTCTTACCATGAAAGAACACATTAAAAATGAAAAAGCACCAATATGAATGTGCCAGACACTTTCCTAGGAGCTGTAGACTTGCCCTGTAAAATCTAATATATACTGGAGAGAAATGCTGTAAATGGACTGACTGTGGGAAAACCTTCAGTATGCATGTAAGCTTTATAAAACATAGGGAAGGCCATACTGAAGAGAAATTCATGCAATGTAACCATTGTGGAAAATTATAAAAATTACTACGATGCATCTGAAAATACATGTGATCAAAGTGGGAAAACATTTAGAACAAACTCATAAATGGAGAAAAAATTCCATAGAGACATTGGGACAACAGATGTGGGAACGCCTTCAGGAATAGCTCATATTTTCAAGAATACATGAGGAAGGACTGGGGATTTAGCTCAGTGGCATAAGCGCCTGCCTTGAAAGCAGGCAGTCGTGAGTTCAATCCCTGGTACCGATAAAACAAGGAAAAAGACAGAAAAAAAAAAAAAAAAAAAAGAATACATGAGGATTCACACAAGAGGATAGCCCTCTACATATAATTGATGTGGGAAAGTATTCAGTATGAAAGCTTACCTTATTTTTCATGGGGAAATTCTCATGATAAACAGTCTATGAATATAAGAAATGTAGAAGAGTTTTCAGAAGAGTCTCATAGGACACATTTTAAGAATTACACCTAGGAAAATGACCATTTTAATGTAGTATGTATTATGAAGTCTTTAGTAGCAATTCATTTGTTACAGCACACATAATAACATGCATGGGACCCTATAAATGTCAGGGTGGGAAAGCATTCATTCTAAACTGTAATCTTGGGCTGGAGATTTAGCTCAGTTGCCTAAGCACCTGCCTTGCAGATGTGTGGTCATAAATTCAATCTCGGGTACCAAAAATAAAAAAATAGAAAAATTAAACTAAATAAATAAATAAAATGTAATCTTGAGCTAAAATAAAGATAAAATGTAATCTTGAGCCAACCAGGGTATAGACTGGGGAGAACCAGAAAGGAATCTAAGCCCCCACCTGTGAGTTGCTGGTACATGGTCTTGGGAGAGAAAATCAGCTGCCTCCTCCATCCTGCGAGCAGCTGATTTGGAGGGGCTGTATTGTTTGATTGACTGAAAACCTAAAACCAAGCAGCTATTTAGGGGACAACAATATGCAATATAATAACTATTGCAGATTTTTATTGTTTTATCACTGTTTTGATTCATTTTATTCTGTTTTGTTCCCTTTAAAATTAAATTAAAAATAATCTTATTGTACACCAGAGAATCCATATTGTGCAAAAACTCTTTAAGGGTAAGGACTGTAAGGAAAGATTCTATCTTACATAACATGTATAAATTCACACTGGAGTCAAAACCCATTTAGATTAGGGAATTCCATACCAGGCCCCAAATGGTTCATATGCATGGTCTAGTTATGAACCAGGCTGCACAGCAGGGGGTAAGTACCGTGGTAGTGAGCAAATCTCCCAGCTGCTGTCCACTGCTTACTTTGCCACCTCACTGTACCCTCTATCAGAATAGGGGCAACATTAGATTCTCATAGCTGCAGAGCAGTACTGAGCCATGCATTCTCACTCACCTCATAAGAATCTAATCTCTGATGATTTGAGATAGATCTGAGGCATCAATTTTAGTGTTGAGGAATGTAATTATTATGTGTTGCAAACATGTACTATTAAAAAGAAAGTAAGACTCCAACTCCATTCATGGAAAATGTGTCTTACATAAAGCCAGTCACAGGCGCCGAGTAGTTTGGGAACTACTTCACATGCAGTCTATGGGAAAGCCTCGTAAGGGAAATATTACCTTGTTTTTCACAGGAAAATTCATATACAAATGAGACAATATGAATGGGAGCAATGTGCAAAAGTCTTTAGGAACCTTGTCACTCACAGGAGGCATGAATGATCACACCAGGGATCTTTCCCATCATTTAAAAGAAAACTTAAATGATGCAAAAGGCAAATCCTTTGTAAGAATGCTTTTCCTACAATGCACATTAGGATTCACACTAGGGAGAAATTCTGAGTGTAATATATACAGGAAAATTTAGCAGAGAGTGTAAGCTTACTGCACACCAGATAATATGTACTGGAGCAAAACTATTAATGCAGTGTCTCTGGGAAAGCTTTTAATAAATATTTGTCAGTTAGGTGTCACTAAGAAATTAACAATAAATAAAAACCCTCCAAGGACATAACAGAATAGCCATTAGTGAACCATCAGTCATTATTTAGACACATAAGCAAATGCTGATTAGAAAAATGATTTTTCAAAGAATGTAAGAAAGTCTTGGCATGAGGATATTTATATGGAGTAAAAGGTTGTCCAACAATTGGATTAGACATCCTTTATGTGTTCTCTATCCTTCAGAAGATATGTAATAGCTCAGTGCCTAAGAGAGCTAAACTTGCTTCTTTAGAAAAATGAAGTTTGAACTATTTTATTTTTGACACTGGGTCTCACTGTGTTGCTCAGGTTGACCTTAACCTCCTCATGTATAATGGGGATTGACGGGTTGTCTTCCTAGTCAACAAGGCGCTGGACAGTGCCTCCCTGCTGCACTGACTTCCATATTCTTCTAGTAAACCTGAAAGCTGAATTCCCCACTTTTTAAGCACATCAGTGCATTTCCAATCAGCCATTAGTACATCATTCTACCCATGTCTTCAACTTCATCCCCTGTCAAAATCAAATAAAAGCCTGCAGTTTTCTTTGTCTCCCTCAATAGATGCTTGCCTCTCTTCAGTAGCCCTCCCATTCTCACAATAAAAGGTCTCTCTCTCTCTCTTCTCTCTCTCTCTTTCTTCTTCTTCTTCTTCTTCTTCTTCTTCTTCTTCTTCTTCTTCTTCTTCTTCTTCTTCTTCTTCATCTTCTTCTCCACTTTTTGTCTTTTGTCTCTCACTGAACAGGGATAGCATCTAACTGTGATCCTCCTGCCTCAACTTCCCTGAGTGCATGATGACACATCTGGCTTCTGCAACCATATTTGAGTTTGTGTGTGTGTGTGTGTGTGTGTGTGTGTGTGTGTGTGATGAAGTGATTCTTTTGCTTCTAACCAAACATAATCAATAACCTCAAACATTTTTTATATATAAGTAAAATTATATAAAGTTTGACAGTATATCTGGGTTTATTAATTATAGCTTTTAAAGTAGAACTACCATGTGATTTGGCTGTCTCACTGTCTGGTATATATCCAAAGGAAACAAAGTCAGCATACAAAAGATAACTGCATGACTAAAGTTTATTTTGGCACTGTTAATAATCAGTAAGATAAGAGCTCGGCATGGTGGCTCATGCCTGTAATCCCAGCACTTGGGAGGCTGAGGCAAGAGGATTATTGCAAGTTTGAGACCTACCTGGGCTATGAAGTAAGGTCAAGTTCAGCTTGAACTTTTTGTCTTTAAAAGACAAAATAATAAATAATAATGATAATCAGTAAAATATGAAATTATCCTTTATATCTGTCAAAAGATGAAAAAGCAATATAGGAACACATGGAGTATTAGTCATAAAGGGGTACTTTTATTTGCAGGAAAATAGATGGAAAAATATAAGTGAAATAAACCTGACACAGTCACATATTCCATGTTCTTCCCAATATGTGGAAAGAGTACAAAATAAAATAAGAAGTCACGGTAGAAGTAAAAAGAAAGATTTGAGGGGAATTAAAGGAAAAGATAAATTTCGGGGCATTTGGGAGGAATGCCAGGGCAGCAGGGCTAGGGAATAGGAGGGAAAGATAGAAGATGAGTGGGTGTACGTCGGCACTGCATGCTATATTCACATGTGGAAAATTCAGTGATTCCCATTGATTTGTACAGTTGGGAATCATTAAAATAAGTGAATTATATAGGAAAATGTGGATAATATATGCATGTGTATTGTAGAGCATTTAAATTGGGTTTATAAATCTTCAATACACTTAAAGTTTTAGGTCTGTTTTTTCTTTTGTTTCCTGTTTTTGAGACAAGGTCTCACTATGTAGTTCTTGAGGTTGAACTCACTACATAACCCTGCAAAACCTTGAAGTTGCTATGACCCTCCTGCCTCAGCCTCCAGAAGGCTTGATGACAGGTGTGTACTGCCAATCCTGGCTTCACATCTGTTTATTTCCAGACAAATCATTTTACAATGAATATGTCCTCTGGGATTTGCTTAGATTTTTCCCTTTAATTCTGTACATTTTGCAATTCACTATTGTATGTTTTGATATGTG